GAACAAGAAGCGACGTTTTCTATTCTACGCGGATCGGTGCGTAGAGGAATGGATTAGAGATCGGTGGGTGTGTTGCTCGTTCGGATCGGGTGCGCGATCATGCGTTAAAATGAAAGGAGAGACGCGCGCGACTTGGCCAGATGAGAAAACGAGAAAAACGAACGAGGAATGAGCTGCTCCTGAAAAAAAGGAGACGAACGTTTCGAACGATCGGATTCCATCACGAAAATCGAGAAGAATCGGGTGAAGCGAGATGTCATTTTTTTCATTTTTTCTTTCGAGATGAATAAAATCCGAATTGGCTGGTCGGGGGAGATAGATATTTCTATAAATAAGGATGAGTCGATCCATGGAAAAGTATTGAAATTGTATTGTTATCTGAAAAATACGCGATGGATCGATGGCAGAGTAATATAACGTAAAGATCTCGATGATCGACAAGAGCGGAGCGTGGTTAATTGCGATTCGACGAGAGAGGTAGAATTATCTCGATCCCGAGATATCTCTGATCGGGGAGATACGGGGCGATAAATGAGACAACAATGGAAGCAATGGCCAATCGAAATCGGCGTATCGGCAGCAATGATCGATTTTTTCCACTTTCTAAACGCGGTTGAGGAGCGCGCGGAATTTTGCGATTGGCTCAGCCGTTTTTTGTCAAGCATCACGTTGGCAGTAATGCTCGTTCGCGCGTAGAATTATTGCCTCATCGTTCGATCTGTTGCGTCGCGATCGGTCGCCGATCGCTCGTTTCGTGGATCACCATCCGTTCCGTAGATCTTTCCGTGGATCGTGTTCCTCGCGATCCCCTTTCGCAAGGAAAGGGCCGAAGAAAACGGTACGCTCCTCTTTTTCTCCAACATTCTTCGACTTCTCGAGCCAATTGAGCCGATCTTTACGACCGATTCGGTCATTTCTACCGAGTAGAATGTTGAATGTTTGGAAATTGTAACTATTCGAGTTGCAATTTTCTGTCTTATGGATAGATCCAGACTTGAAGTTGAAATGAAATTCGTCAAAAATCGAATTTCCGATCGAAGTTTCGGAAGAATAAAATTGAATCGAAGAAAAGAATTTTGAGGAAAAATCTTAGTTTTATCGTTACGATAAAATTCATTTTGTAAATTCATTTGAATAAGACTTGTTCAAATACTACGAATATTTATGATATTCATATTTATGATAATAAATATATAATAATTGAAAATGAAGGAATTTTGTAAGATAATAAATTAGATTATATAATTGGGAAAAATCGCGCTACCAATTGGAATCAATTAAACGGATTCGCAGAAAAGATCATCATCCAATTTGCAATAATTTGCATATTGTTTTTTCTACTTCAAGTGTAACAGATCGTTTACTTTTTTTTTTTCCTTCTTTGCTTCTTGAACCATGAAATAATAAAGTTCTTTATTGTTATCGTTAATTTCATAGAAAAATCTTCAAAGAAGAATCGTGGAATATATTAAAAACATGCATGTTAAATATCAATCAAATTTCCAATTTCTAATATTTTCTTCGTTTAAATAAAATTTTAATAATAATCAAAATCGTCTTTCCCTCTCAGTGGATCAAATACGATATGAATCGAACGTTGTTGAATGAAAAGTCGAAGCGTATACTATAATGAAGATTGGATAGGCATAAGAGTTCGATTCAGACGATCAAATTGCGTGTAAAGGCAAAGTTCAGCGTTCGTTAATTCAATAGGAGACAATTAACTCGTCATTGTGAAACTTTGTCATTTCTAACGCGATGCGCTCGCGAGACAATCGTTATCTTTAATATATCTATATATTATGCCATTTGAAACAATGAAGATTTTAAATAGATTCATAAGAATTGATTTATAAAGATTTATAAACCATTTATTATATCTAAATTTGAATTTCAAAAAGTTAAGATAAATGACGAGTGATGAAAGTGTATTCAATTGGTATCCCATATCTCGTACGTGATGACGCGCCAAGAGTAAGTTAGACAAGGAAAATGATATAGTGGAAGAAGGATAGAGATAGGTTAAAAATGTGAAAATCAGCGCCATCTCTAGAGTGCCGCAAATGAAACTAATAGATAAGGATAGAGAATAGAAAGAGAAGGATAAAGATATAGTAAACGTGACTATTAGCGCCATCTCTGATGTGTCAAAGTAACTTTTTAAGTAAACTAAAGAATAAAAAGTGAAGATGAGCGCCATCTCTAAAGAATAAAATTATCTTTTTAGAGATGGCGCTGGTTATCAATTCTTACTCTAACTTATTCTATATTATCTAATAATTCCGAAAGATGTCGCTAATAGTCAATTTTGATCTATCTCTATCCTTTTCTTATTATTTGCCCTCTTTATTTACATTTAGTTTCATTTGCGGCACTCTGAAGATGGCGCTGATTCCCGAATTTTTATTCTATCTCTGTCCTTTTCTCTCTATTTACTTTCCTTGTCTATACTTGCTATGCAACGCGTTCGAAAAGCTTCAATATCTAATTAATTTTTTATCTTTTTTTGATAAAATAATTAAAAATCTTTATCTATTTTCTAATTTATACCGAATAAAGCACTTAGAAAATATATATGTATATATATATGAAATAAAATATATATATATATGACGCGTTTTTCTTCTCATTCTTATATGTTCCTATAACTTTTATTCTATTTTTTACAACTATATAAAAATATGATTACCTATGCTATGTAAAATGTGCGATATTGAACGGAATATACTTGGCGAAATTGTGTATATTTTCGGCAACTATACTTTCAATATATAAAAAAGTTAGAAGAATAAAGTTACAATTTGTAAAATGTTTATCAAAACTTTATCAACTTTTATGAATCATGAATTGAAAATAATGCTCTAAATAGAAGGTATAACAAACATTGTGATTTTTTTTACGCAATGTTTTAAAACATGGGACACAAAATCCCATATATATATATATATATATATATATACACATATGTATGTATATATTTTTTTTTATTTTATAAGTATTAATTGAATACGTTCAATATAAAAAATTACACAAAATTTCTATTAAATTCCACTATAAATATTCCAAATTAATAATACAAAGAAGAAACTATTGGATGATCAATGATCTAACGTCGCCATGGTTGAAGTGTAATATTTTAATAGTAATCATAATGAAGTTACAGGATGCTTTTATACAGTATGTATAGATAGAGTCATAATATAATCGCTCTTAATTAGTATGATCGACATAAGTATGCTTAATCAATCCGTAACGTTTGTTATCGTCTATTAATCAGAGAGAAGGATGAGACAGGGAGAGATATGTAGAACACGTATTCGTAAAACCTTATGTGAAAAAACAGAAGAACATTCTATGTTCGTCAACGCCATTTACGAAAACGCTATTCACAAAAAACGTTGCCTGGGAATGATCGAAAGAAAAGAAAGGAAATAACTTTATTTCTTCTTCTTTTTTCTCTTTTTTTTTTTTTTTTTTTTTTTTTTTTTTTGTTTTTTTTAAACCCATACGCAATTAAAAATTTGTAACCTTTTTTTTTTTTTTTTTTTTTTTCGTTGAACATTCACGAGTATCATTCTTGAACATCGAGAACAGGATGTGAACACGCGATCTTTTTATCAACCATCCACTGAAATAAACGTAACAATTATGCGCCCTTCCCGCAAAGTACTTCTCGTGATCCTTCACGTGCCACGATAAAATCGATAAGATCGCAATCATATTTATAATATATGCATATGTATATATATAATATCTATTTATATATATATATATAATATATATATATTAAAAATCACGGAGAACTTCTTTTTTCTTCTTTTTTACAAACGTTATTATCATCTAATAGAAATTTGTACACAAATTCTCATAAAACGTTACTCTCTCTCTCTCTCTCTCACTCTCTCTTCTAATTACACGCTCGTTTCGCTAATTATCCATCCTCGTCGCTTTGGCTTCGCGTCGACCAACGCCAGAATTTACGTTATCCATTCCTATCTATTCGAGCACGAGGTTTATCCGATTCACACTTTCGATCGACGATTGCAACAATCGATTGCTACTAGCTAACAAAAAAAAAAAAGAAAGAAGGAAAACAAAAAAAAAAGATAAGAAACATTCGTTGAATAATCATTTCGTGGCTCCGTGGTTTAACGGAGGCCTGATCTCGAATATCCATGAATCTCGCTTCACGATTAAATCGTCCTGCGCGAATATATATATATATATACATATATATACCACTAGGAAAGGGAAATCGAGTTTTAGAAACTCGAATCCGGGTCCTGTCTTCTCGTACGAGACAGTTTCACTCGCAAAGTAACTCGCAATATGAATAAATAATACTACGACGATCGACCGATTTTTCAGGTCGATGAGCGGAAATGGGAGAAAAAGTTCGAACGATTATTAATTACGTGCGCGTGTGTAGAATGGAAACGAGCCTGTAGGAACTACACTATTGAACAACTTGCCCGTAACGAACGTGAATACGTGTATGTATGTATGTGTATGTGTGTACGTGTACGTGTGTTCTCTTTTTTTTTTTTTTTTTTTGCTCGTGTGAATGAGAAAGTACAGTGAATTTCGTTCGATCTCGCTTGGATTCTCACTCTTTGCGGTGCGAAAGGAAAAAAAGGGGGAAAAAAAGAAAGAAAAAATAAAGACTTGGAAAATAAGAGGGACTGGAGAATGTCTTGTGTGGATCATCGCAAACGCGCTTTTGTTCAGCGTCCTTAATGTCTTTTTTTCTTTTTCATCGTTTCTTCGGAAAAAAGGAAGTCCGACTCGATCGATCACTCTTTTTCACTATTACCTCGAAACACGATTTCGAAGACCTTTTCCTCGATACATATATATATATATATGTACGATCATACAACGTAACAGTTACATTCGAGACATCTTCGTAAGTTCGTATCGGATAACGGTGCGACTGGGGCAACACGATCCTCGATAAACGATCCTCATCCTCATCCTCTTCAAGGTATCCGGCCAACGAGCTATGTGGAGATCTCGATCACGGGTTCCGCCGTGTTGTTGTTGAGCAGCTCCTGCTTCTCCCTCAGCTTCAGATCGTACTGGGGCGGCGGGGTTGTCGACTCCTTGGTCTCGGCCGGGGACATGCCATCCGTCTCGTCCAGGGGGGACACGCCTTCCTCGCTGTCCTCGTCCTCGTCGTACTCGGTCTCCATCTTGGACTCGTGCATCTCGTGAAGCCGGCTGGGCAGATAGGCCGGATGGGGAGGCAATCCGTAACCAGCTTCGCCCCCGTAAGTCACTTTGCCCATGAACGACCTGATCTCGTCGAAGTAAGTGTCCTCGCGCTCGTTCTCGTTGCTGCTCCCGGGTGAGTCGGCCACCGAAACGACACCGCTCCCGTCGTCGGCCTCGTGCTTCTTCAGGTGCCGGTCCAAGTTGGTCTGCTGGCCGAAACATCTCTCGCACAGCGGACACTTGAACGGCCTCTGCTTGTCGTGAATGTTTCTCACGTGCCGTTGCAAGTTGCTCGAGATGCTGAACGATCGTTCGCAGTACTTGCACTTGTACGGTTGCTCGCCCGTGTGGGTGCGCAGGTGTCTGGTCAAGTTTGCGGATCTGGGGAACACCTTGCCGCAAAACTTGCACGAGTACCGATCCTTCATTTTACCGTGGGCGTGGTGGTGGTGGTGGTGGTGGTGAGGCGCGATCACCGCCTCCTGAAACGGTTTCACGCCGGGGAACGGCCCCAGCGGCGGCCTGGCGAGCAGGTCGAATCCTCCGCCTCCGGGCCTAGCGCCGCTGAGCCCGTTCATAAGCGTCCCTAAAAAAGGAAGGCCGCGGGGTGGTCCGAAGGGTGGCAGGGGCGGCAGCAGCCTGGATTCGGGCGCGGCGCCACCCGGGGGCGGGGGCCCGCCTGGGAACCCGGGGAAGGAGCCGGTCGGGCCGCGGTACATCGCCTCGAGGAACATAGGGTGGATCGGTCTTGGGTACGCCATGTGCGGCGGGGTGTTGGTAGGCGGTTGCTCGGCGGGCAGGCTGGTCCTCAGCTGGGGGCTGCTCGCCACGTCCTTGGGATCGACCTCCATCGGCACGGAGGCGGCCCCCTCCTCCTCCGGTTTGGGGGGGTCGGGGGGCGGTGGAACGTCCTCGACCCGAGCCGGGGTCGGCGACGGGCTGCGGCTCGGCTGCTTCCTCTCGGCCGTCGCGCTCGAGAAACTCTGCTTCTTCGTTTGCACTCTCAGATCCAACGGTTGATCCGTCGTCTCCTCGACGCTCGTCGACGACGCGGTGGTCGTCGACGCGGTATGCTCGGGGTCCGGTTTCTTCTCGTTGCCCGCTCTCCCGATCTCCCGTTTCTTGGACGGGTCGTCGTCGCTCTCCGGCGTCGGTTGGACAGGCGGTCTGGCCGGAGACGGTCTGAACGAGGAGGTCGCCTCCTCGGCGGTGGACGGCGACACTTTGCTGTGCTGCGGCAGAACCCTCGGCGGCGTGAAGCGTTCCTTCTTCGGGCTCTCGCTCCTCTTCTCGGCTTCCTCCACCTTGGGCGGGAACAGGAGGGGGGTGTTCAAGAAATTGGGGGCATTGGGGAAGATTCCTGGATAAGGGCCCATCAGGCTGGTCGGGTAGAAGGGCAGACCTCCGGGGAGGCTGACCGGGGGTCTGGGGTAAACGAGGAAAGGGCTGGGGGCCGGGGTGGGCAATTGCGGCATGGCGCCTGGTGGGCCGGTAGGTGGCGTCGAGTCGCAGAATCGTTTATGCTTGGACAAGGAGGTGACCGTGCTGAACGACTGGCCGCATTTCACGCACTTGATCTGCATGCGGCAATCGGCGTGCATGCGTTTGTGCCGGCATAGATTGGAGAACTGGGTGTACGCCTTGAAGCAGACCTCGCACTGGAACGGTTTCACGCTGCTGTGGATGTGGGTGTGCTGCTTGAGGCCGGAACTGGTCGCGAACGTCTTGCCGCACTCGGTGCACGCGTGGCTCCTCGCGCCCACGTGATGGGTCCGGATGTGGCGCTGAAGGTTGGACGGGTCCGTGAAGACCTGCGGTTTGTCCGACTGTTAGCGAAACTTTGAAGATGTTACTCAAGGGGGGAAACGTGTCGTTTCGTGGCTAGTCGCATGTCAAAGGTGATGCTTACCTTCGGACAATTCTCGCAAGGGTAGTTTCGAAGATCACCGTGAACGATCGCTCGGTGGCGTACCAGCAACGGTCGCCAGGCGTACGCTCTGGGACAATTGTCGCACCGATGCTGCTCCGCCGGGTATCTGTGACAGGTTATCAGGTGACTGTCCAATCTGAAACCAGAATAGTCGACGAGAATCGTCACGCGTGAAACGTAACACTTTTATCGAAATCCCAACGCTGGATTATCACTTCTATTATCTTATCTCCCTCTCTCTTTCTCTCTCTTAAACCCGGAAGAGCGACAGTTCCAAGAGAAAGAGAGGCACTCCGTCTTAAAGGGTATAGAAGAAGAAGAGAAAAACCTCTCTACAATCCGTTGGAAATCTCCGTTGGAGCAAGAAAATTGGCGAGATATAATCGATCCGGGGCAGGGCACCGGCCAAGACTGCGCTCGGTGCAGTCGAGGATGATGACTAAGTGACTCCGGTAGCGCGGCAGCGGACAAGCTCTCGCGTAATAACGGTCACACGCCCCCGAAGGAAGAGGGTGGTGATCGTAGGTACACATACACGGGGAGGAAAGGGAACGAAGGAAGGGTCGCGAGTGAGAAAGAGAGAGGTGTCCGCGGCACGGGCAGTCGGGGGTTGGTGAACACACACGCACACACACACACACACACACGTATCCACGGAGCAAGCTGGGTTGGTTGCAAGCGCGGGGTGTCGCGAGGTTGGGCACGGGTTATGGTCACAGGATGTGCCATGGTGTGGTGGCCGGCATTGATTTTACACCCTCGAACACACGTGTCGCGTGAAACCTATTCGTGGTGAGATAGTAGGTTCACGGTGACGGTGCGCCGTGCCAGATGAGCTGCGGGCACGCGACGCCTTCGATGATGCATAAGGGGGTGGCTCGATGCAACCGAATGCGGATCTCGCGCGTACTTTATGTGCCACAACAGGTGACTCTGCCGAGCCGAGGCTCACGGAAGCGGCTGGTGTCGCGGTGTGCCGCCAAACCGGGAAACAGATGCCGGAACGGGACGAAATGGATGTCCGAAATTGGACCACTCTCCCTCTCCCCCTCCGGTTATGCAACGCGAGATAATTATTTTTTTTTTTTTATTCTTATTTTATTTTAGACGAGAGATATCACTCGGCGATGAAAGGAAGTAAATAAGTTACGTTGTGAATATAAAATGATACGGAAGATTAAAGAAATGAATTAATTAGACGTTTAATTTAATCGAATAGGATATTAGAGATCAAGTTAAAAAGTAAGTTCTATTAAGAAGAAGGGGATGTTTTACACTCGAAAGAGTTGAATAGAAATAAAAATATCGTAAGATCGATTTAATTACAAATTCTGTCTAGGAGAAGGAAAATTGAAGGGTAGTGCAAATAAAGAGGAAGATGTATATTTATTTTTAATTAAAGAAGATTTGATTTTGATATAATTAGAACTGCATCCTTTCGTATCGTGGGAAAAGATTGGAAGGTAAATAACACGAGCTTTCACGCGACGATTCGGGCATCGGTCAAGTATTTGACTTTTCGTTTAATGGTGGCGCGCAAACAGCCTCGAACAACCCTGAAAAAGCTATCGTAATTCTCGAAAGCAACCCTCGAAATGATTTGCGTGCTCGGGGCCCCTCTTTTCCGTGCACGGCTAACGCTCAGATTTCGAGTGGATAACGCGCCTCTCGGTTCCTCCATCTCGTCCATTACCCAACAATTTATCCGTCGAATCAAACCGATCGAACCGATTATCCCCAACACCGTTCCATCCATTTATTGTTTCCTTTTTTTTTTTCCCCTCTAACGTTTTAATTTATAAATATGAAAAATCGTATCTGGCATCGATACGTAGATTAAGCTTTCGAAGCGATATGCGGTTATGAAGAATTATATCTAATCGATCTCGATCGCGATTCATCGATTTCGTATCATTAGAGAGGACGATTCTCGCAATCTGATTTTGAAAAACACGTGACGACCAGTCACGAATCCTTTGTAAGCTTTGTAACATTGATTTCACCACGATTATCAATTCGTAATAATAATAATTTTTCTCGATAAAAGGTGTCAAGGATTAAAAAAGAAGCGTTCGAAAATAAGCATGGATATCAACAAGAATCAAATTTTAAATTAAAATTTTGAACTGGTGTTTGTGATTGAGGGAGATAACAAAAATTGGGAATTTTTTTTTTATGCTACTTACAATTCGATATCTTGAAACGGTTTGTCGCAGACGGTGCATCTAGTCTCGCCCTCCTCCTCGTCCTCCTTGTCCTCGTCTACGGTTCCACTGTGTTGCGAGGCTATAAGCACAAAGAAGAAAAGGCACGTGAAACGAGGCAGCGAGGAACAGAGACAGTCTGGGAAGTCATAATTCCGTCCCACATTGTGACCGGCTGCGGCTCTATAAATTACACCCCCGAGAACGATGATACGTGACCCGTCCTGGTGTTGGGCGAATTACGTGATCGAGAATCGCGCGGGGAGCCAGCAGAGGAGAGTGGCGTGACAAGTGGACGCCACGATTGTTCCTGAATTATTAAATCAAACCGGCACTATCGTTTTATCTATCCGCTCGGAAGAACTCACCATTCTTCTTTCCTTCTCCGTCCTAAATCGTTCCTTTCCTTTCCTTTTTTTTTTCTTTATTTTTCGTCTATACGATAGAAGAAACAGAGAATCGATGAAACAGAAATTATCTCGACACTTGTCAAATGATTGACTCGAATAATAAAAATTAGGGGATGAAACGAATCTTTTATAATTTTACGCGCGAAACTCAATCATCATCACTTTTTCCATACGATGAAAGAAAAGTTGATAAAAGGAGAATCGATGAGGCAGAAATTATCTCGGCACTTGTTGTCAAATGATTGACTCGAATAATACCTTTGGAAAATTAGGAAACGAATCTTTTATAATTTTTACGCCACGCGCGAAGTTATCGTACGCCGTTTCGCTATTTGTTTAAAAAAAATAAATGGAGGAAATTTCTTTTCGATAAAAAATTTCCCTCCAAGAGGAGGATTAACGAACACAAGCCACAAAGATCGCGACAAAGTGCCTTCTTCTCGCGCAACTCGGTCACGATGCTGCAGTCGACGAAGACAATGGGTACAATGATGCACCGGTTAGCTGGTGGCACGTTATCCCACAACTGAAAACAGGAACGGGGTGTCGGGGACCGCTTCCTATTGGTAACGGCGAGGCCGGAGTCCGACCAATCGCAGGTGAGGCTCGCTATGCCCCCTGCGGACTCCCTTCACCCCCGACAGGCAGGTAAAATCAGGAGGCCGTGAACGGGACAGCGTGTAATTTTTAATGACGGGGATTCCGGACCGATCCAACGGTCAAACCTTCATTTATCCCCTCTAAAGGGTGACGAGACAGGTAGTGTTCGAAAGTGAATTTTCGAGCAGTGGTTATTTCCAATTAATCTTGTATACTGACATTCAGATAGAAAGCTGTATAAGATATTTAATTTTTTTCCTCATATAGAAAAAGATAAAGAGGAGACAATTTTAAAATTTCTTTGTTTGCATAAAAATGTGTGTGTCGATTTTTCAATAATAAAGTTAATAAATTCGTTCATCGAGAGATCGATTTACGTTAAAATTGCGAAGGATTGAAAAAATATTTTATACAAAATGATCAAAACGATTTTTAAGGTTTTAATATAGGAACTGATAAAAGATAAAATAGAGGCAATCGACGTATGGTGGATGGAATATTAGCTGGGCTTATAAAATTGAGAAAGATATCCGTCCACCAACGGTTATTTAAATCTGCCGCTACACTTGTCCCAACCATATGGTCGAGCGATGGCCCCCAACGGACCTTCATGGGAACCGGGCACAGCCCCTACGCCACCAACTACGCCCCTCGCCACGCAACCAACCCCCCCATAGAACGTTAATCGTTCCTCCATCCAGGACTAATTTGAAGCGGCACGACGTGAATTTAAACAATGAAGGATGCGGTCGACCTCGCGATCTGCTAAACGAGGCCTTTCAAAAAGAAAAAAAAAAAAAAAAAAAACTCCTACCTCCTATAGATCGATAGAGAGAGACGAAAAATATGTCAACGGTTCGAGAAGAGAAAAAATTTGAATGAGAATTCTTTTTTTTTTTTGCAAATTTAAATCACGTCACGTTTGTAGAATCTCAAAAATTTTAATAATGCGAAATGAAAAAATAGATGATTCGTGTATTTGGCAATTGCACAATTTTAAATGTTTGTTCATTTTTAAAATAAAAATGTTTGATCTACCATATTTAATCAAAAAAATCGTTTTTCATATGGTAAATTTGAACGTCTAATATTAATAAATAAATTTAAAAAGTCTTCAATAACATATTCACGTGGCAAAGTTAAATTTACAATTTGAGAGTAAATAGAATAATTGTAATATTCACAAAGAAAATACGAATAAACGTTGTTACATATCGATCACATTATTACAAAAAACCTGGCAAAATGCGACGTCGTGGAAAGTCAACAGGTGGGATTCACTGGTAACACCCCCCTGCAGCCGTGTCAGTTGGCGGTTGCATGGGAAAAAGTAACGGAAATCAATGTTTCCGTGGCGTCGTGACAGACCAGGATCAAGTAGATGACCCGAAGAACTGATGCGAAACACTGACTCGAAACGGAAGCAACACTCCTTCCATCGAAAATATACTAATCTTCTATACCCCATCAAACTTTTTAACGAAAGAAAGAAAATTCTAAAGCATCTCTGAGTATAAAACTTCATGATTTTACAAATTTCAAAGGAATTTTATACGAACTTTATATACGATCATTGCAACGATGGAAACGAAATTAATATTAGACAAGATCAAAACATCATCAATTTGATGCAATAATGGTACAACTTCATGAAGGTTCAACGAAGAACAATACTAAAGAATGCGAATAATTCGATGTTGATTAATATATTTCTTGCAAATCCACTGAGAATGCATTTTTATTCTCTCAACACAATATTTGTGTCATTTGTGTCATTTATCAAAAAAAAAAAAATACAGTTCTCGAGAGTTTCACTCTCAAGTTATACTCTCGAGACAATTCGACAATTCACATTTACAAATTCCAGAAGAATTGTAAATTGTTGTAACAAGGGTTGAAACGCGAGTGAAACGTCAAACAGGACGTGTCATTAGTTCGGTGAATCAGATAGGGTTGTCACCCATTTTCACCCGCCCTCCACGCGCGCTCCACCCCCTTCGAAAACAGCGTCGCGTGCCCTTTTAAGCACGGATACCCCTTTTTTTTTTTTTTTTCTTTCAAACTGTACCCTTTTCCTTTTCTCTCTCTCTCTCTCTCTATCTTTCTCTCTCTCTTCTCTCTCAGGCCAGGTTACGCGCGTGTTAATCGACAATACCAGGCCATAAATTATCAACGACCCTAAATAGAGCCATCCGAAGCGGGAAAGAGATGCGTCTCGTGGCCAAAGAGACGAAAAAAGTGGCGTTGTAAAAGGGCGAAAAATCGGGCGCCGCGAAAAATCAAAACCATAACTCACTGTTAACTGCCAGTCGCCAGTTGTATCTACGCCCCCCTCCTCTCCCCCCTCGATAACGTTGTTGTTGCCTCGTGCAAACGTGGTTTACCGAATAGGCGAAAAAAATGCGCCTGTCTCGGTGTCATAAAACGACCTATAGCTCGTCATTCGGCCAAGAATCACGCGTAACTGTTATCGAGTTATAGACTCGACGTTTCCCCTATTTCTTTTTTTATTCATATTTGTTTATTATAAAATCATTTTTAAGAAAGAACACTCTGCATAGATACAATGTAAAAGGATCGATCCTTGTTAATCCTTATCCTTTTATAATGGATAAACGAAAAATAGCATTTTTAATATTTTCGTTGGGTCAAATCACCATAAATTAATTGGACAATTATCACGAGTAAAATCAAGTAGTATTTTAAAGAAAAATCACATATTAGAGAGAATTGTATTAATTTTGCCAAAGGCACCGTTGTACATTTTTAACGATCGATTTTTTAACCAGTTAGATAATTTCGATGTCGTATAATTTCAAATCGTAAATTCTTCAAATCGTATTGATTCGTATTGAAGAAAATCGTTTTCGCTATGAATACGCGTCAAACGGAGGCCAGTTTCGCTCGCTTATCGAGAGACGATGAGAACAATGGAGCAGCAAATAAAACCGGTTATATGCCCGAAACCATCCCTGGATGTATCGATATTTTTTTTTTTTTTTAGCTCTGTAGAGAGGTAGCGTGTGAAAAAAAAAAAAACTGTTTTCCGAGCGCATAAAGAAGATTTTTGTCACCGTTTATTTAATGCGATCCCATGCATACGCTCGCCCCCGTTCAGTCGTCGCGTTAAAGCGATTCCCTTCGTTCCCCGCGCCACGTGAAAAAAAAATGATCCGCTCAAGGGTGACGGAAGGAGGAGCGGAGATGTCCCTCGCAAGGGTTGCACGGGGTGTACGCCGTTTGTTTGACATCATTATTCTCGCTGCACGCACCAGATTGCCAGGGATTTCTCGTAAAAATGGCTCCCTCGGATTAACAGCGATAATGTTCCACCGTTTTTCCCGTGTTTTATGGCCACCACTTATTCTTTCTCTACAATTTTTTGATAGGAGGAGGAGGAGGAGGAAGGAGGAAAACACGTGTACCTTCGAATTATTAGACGCGTAAAATATATTTTTCCACGCGTGAATATATATATTTCTTACAACAAGCATACATTATCGTGATAAAATTTTATCTTGCTAAGGTTGAAACCATTTCCCGAACGAATTGAGAGAAATTTCTCCTTCTCCTCGTAGGAAAACGATTTACAAGAGTTATGGAAAATATCAGGTTGGAGATCAAGGGAAATTTTAATTGGCCGGAGGGGAAGGCCGATTTAATTAAGAACGTGTCTTCTGTCTTCGGAGGAGACGTTTACGATTGGTAGGCGAAAATTACGAGTAAAAATCGTGGGCGAATTAACCGTAGACACCTCGCCGCCTCCAACTTTCATAATAATCCCGGTTTTAATTACCGCGACATCTGGGCGGGGAGTCGCGTATATACCTCCCCATTTAATCTCAGCCAGTCATCCGAGTCCTGACCATCGTGCACGAGTTACAACCAGATAATTGTCGAGCAGCCGGGCACTGCTGAGGTGGGAACCCTCCTTGCAAATGTCTCGAATATATATATATATATATTTCATCGCGCTTCACCTAATGAAAATCGAAGATAAACGATGCCCGTTTGGCAACACACTCCTCTCCCCACCGCTCCTCGAATATTCTTCAAACTTTCTCCTTCGGGAATCGCGAAGACAGGAATGTGAAACGAATGAGGATCTGAATTGAAATTTAAACGTACTAGGGGAGGAGGGTGGAGGCGAGGTAACAATACAACGCACGCGGCACGAGTGCGTCTATCTCGAGATAATCAATGCTTATTACCTTCGAAAAAGGGGTTAAATACGCAACGGCCGACCAGGTGAATCACGCCAGAATCACGGGTGCATGACGAGGACAGCTCGTGCAGTCAACGATTCACGATTTACCCTCTGCCCTCCCTCGCATCACAGAGGGATAATTCCGGCTTTTTCGAAGACACCTGCCCCCTCCCCCTTCTCTGCGTACGCAAGTGGGCACGAGTCACGATGTGTATCGGCCCGAAAAGTCGTAAAGCCAGCTTGTGTACACCACGATCGGGAATATTTTAATGGGCTTGATCATTTGTTCGATTGCTCCGTGCTTCCGCCCCTCGTCAGTTGGCGAACATTCGGTGGTGAAACTTTCGTTTCACGAAAATACAAATTTTTAGAATTATGGAGAGCAGGAGAATCGTTCCATTTTTTTTTTTTTTTTGAGAAATTTTTAATTCAAGTCGATGAATTGTATAATTGATTTAATCGGTTTAATTTGATCGATATCTTATTCCGAATTCTGAAGTCATTCGGATTATTTTCAATCAAAGTGTTAAAAAAAATAGCGCGAAAAGATCGAATAATCTTGAAAAGATTGGATAATAAACAAACGATTGTATCGCGATCAACACCCGGCTGAACCTACGTTTTGTTCGCATAACCGGTTCTTAGTTTAACAGATGATCGATCGAAGGGATGTTGGGAGAGAGAGGTAGGTTAATAACTAGGATAATTGGTGATCGCATCGCGTTTGATACTCACCGGTCTCTCGGTCGCTTCGATCCTCGGTCGTATTCTCGCCGAGCATGTCCTGAAGTTGAAGAGGTTCTCGAACACCGAGAAGAAGCTCTTCACCCGCCGCAATGTCCCTCACCGCCTCGTACACCATCTGCGGACAATGACACCCTTGAATCCTCCGACCCCTCATCACTTTTGTTACCTTTCATCGCGAATTATCTCGGCCTAGTTGGAATAATAATCTCGAGTAACGCTCGAAGAAGAACAACTACATCGAGATGACACTTTAATAATTACGAATGGAAAGATGTTGAGATTCGTTGAAGCAAATTGGCGAGTGAATATTTCGAATCAAACGGGAAAAATTGATAATAATTTCGAGCTCGTCCAAAAATATCGTTAAATATCGTTCGTTAAATATCGCGCTTTTGAACGACACAAATTTTCCATCGAGTCCATAACAGTCGGAAGCAATGAAAGGATCTTTATGGTGTCGTGAGGAGGCCCCCGAAAAGTCATTACAACGGCGATTCTGTAGGGTTCTGATAGAGGATCCCCTCCCCATTCCCACACCGATTGCGAGCGGGGCGTATAGGAAGTCACCGAAACGACCCCGTAGGGTGACTTAATAACTAAACACCCTGTATACACGCAGCTTAGGGAGCGCCCACAACGCGGCCCAACACCATGTGCCGTGGTTCACATGGATGGAAAGTCCAAAGGATGGGATCATACCCCGAATTGACATCGTGACCTCCATTGTCTTTTTCCCATTTATGGGATCATTATCTAAAAATCACACATACGGCTTCTCGATAATTAAGAAAAATTATTCTTCTTTGAAACTCTATGCCTATTCTTTACTTTTTTTTTTTTTTTAAAGTGACACCAAAGCGAGCTATATACGTATATAAATAAAAAGTGAATAACGTTTTTGAAAAGAACGTAGTTCGATATAAAAATTCGCAAATGAAAATCTCTTTGCTCTGTGTATTGTGAATTATCGAGAAGATGAAATTGGCGGATAGGAAAGTTGCGTGCGAAAGAGCAGCAAAGTTGGAATTTTGAAGCAGTGCATTTGGCAGTTACAAATCTAAACGTAAATCTACAAACTTGGCCGCGTTGGTTTCCGTTCCATCGTCGTCTCATTAGCGAGTCACGAGAAACATGGCAGCGTTGCTGCACCTTTTCTTTTTTTTCTTTTTTCTTTTTTTTTTTTTTTTTCTTATATTCAGTTTCACCAGCACACGTGGAATTAACTACGACTGTGTCTGACACCGTGTAATTATTCCTTCCTATTAACTGCAACTGTCGATCCAGTGTCCAGTTGCGCTCGAAAACCGAATACGTTAGTGGTCAATACCAAACGTGCCACGCGCCAACTTACTATACCGTGCTTGTAAAACAATTATCGAAGCTCGGAAATGGAAATCGGGAGAAACTCGATTTGAGTTTATCATATATAATAATTCGCTTTAACGAATTCCTTTCTTTTCTTTTTCAAATATTATATACCTGTCCACCAATGAGCACGTGACGCATGTTAACCGCGTGAGGGCTGCTAGTGCTTCGAACATACTTCAACCAATTATTCGTCTCGTGGGATGCGTCCAACCACCCCCTCACCCCGCTTCCAGCCGTACGAACCTGGAAAAAATTATTTTTCTTATTGTATACCCCCTGTAAACGTTCTTTTTTTTTTTTTTTTTTTTTCTCTCTAACTCAATCCACCTTGCGCCCGACGTCGCTACGTTCGAGTGTCATTAAGAAACGATCCATTTCTATTCAGGGTGCAACGCGGCCCGGTGCACGTGCGGAAAACAGTTTCAGAACTTCGTGACCGCAATGTTTTGGATCCGGGGTGTTGCGTTTAACGGATATATATATATATATATATATATCGCCCTCTCATCACACCCAGTCGCGTCGCTCCAGCATCCATCTAGGGGTGTATTCTCTCACTCTCCCTACTTTTAGGGCGAGACAAGTGATTTTTTCAATTGTCTTGCGCGGCCACGATACGCACCGAGACGCTTGGCCGGCCAAGCGTCTCACCCTGATACGCCCCTGGACGGCCCGCCTTTCGATACCTTCCCCGGCCAATTCTCACCCTCCCGGCTCTAAACACATTTCACACTTCCACATCGGGGATGTCGTTGTCCATTGTACTTCGAGGAAATGCGTATGAAAATATCACGTATCGATCCTCGATTAATCTTTTCTTTCGAAATAATTTCGATAGTTACTTTTATACTTACTTTTTTTTTACTTAAAAAAAAAAAAAGAAAAAAGAAATCATCGAAAATATCATTTTGTCATTGAAATCAAAAATTGAATCAAAATAATAGGATTATAAATCAGTAAGATTTTTTTTTTTAGTTATATTTTATCAACGCGAAGTTTTTTTCTCTGTCTAAAAATAGAAGAGGTATTTTCAACGTTCCCTTATCACAGATATCTGAGTGAGTTTCGCCGCAGGGGTCCGTTGGTCGGTTTTACCCTACCACCTGCCGGTAACGAGTACAACTAGGTGCACCCATAAAAATCAATGAATCTCGCAGGTGGATAAAGCGGTCTACCTTGCAGGTAAGTAATGCACGCATTATCAAGTAATAGTAGTAGTAGTACTAGTAGCAGCAGCCTTGAGAAGTGTCGCTTCCCAAGGAAAAATTTGTTCATCCCGGATAATCTCAGGTAGGAGTAAACTGTAGAGAAACATGGGGATGAACTCGTAAGAAATATTTATTCACGCCTTGACGCTTTCTCTGATTGAAGCTTCTCATTGTCACACTCGCACACCAAACCGAATTTTCAATATTTTCGATTATATATTCCTACGTTTGCCAATTCTTTGCCAATTCTTCTGATAAATTGTTAAAATTCGAGGAACGTAATCTAACGACGTAAAGTTTAAAACGTACGTTCGATGAAGGAAATATTTCTAAGATTTCGTAAAAGTAATATTTAATACGATTTCTGAGAGAGAAAGAGAGAAAGAGAGAGAGAGAGAAAGATTATTGCGCCAGATTTTCCATTTCTTGATGTCTGGAACGATTACCAAAGACGAGTATCATTGATCGTCGCATCGGTTCAGGTAGAGACGGCCGACTAATAATACCCTATAATGCCTGAATAAGAAGTGGGACAGTTTGGAAAGAAAGGAAGAAAAGGAAAGCGAGATGGCGCGATTCCTCATAATGGCCAGTTTAGCTACCGGGCTAAGGAGAGTTTTTCGAAGATGGGCACGAACGAGCCGCCACAATAGGACTTCTGGCTGTGCAACGCGACAGATTAGGATCTCACGCGAGTGACACCTTTCACTACGATGAGCCAACTTTGCTACTTATTCGCGCGGCAAAGAGCATTTTTGCGGGAGGAAAATGGAAACTTGTTAAAATTCCCACTTCGCCTTTAAGGGATCTCTCACTCTCTAACGCGTAAATGCTTCCTTTTCAATTTTTTTTTTTTTTTTTTTTTCTCTTGAACGAGATGTCGATTCAACAGAGCATTATTACGTTTTATCCAACAGTTGACGATCATTTAATCTTATCTTTCTATAAAATTTTATTTTGGGAAAAAACCTTCGACCAAAAGATAATTATTTTCTATACAAAAGAGAAATGAGCGTACTTAAGATTGCTTGATTCGTGAAAATTCATCGTTTCAAATTTATTGGAATAATGAAAAAAAAAAAAAGAAAGAAACAGGCTCCATCGATCTTTGAATTTTCAAGAAGCCAGTGTGTCAACCGACACACGGCGGACCTCGCAGCGGGAATTTCCATCTCTCTTTGTCGGCGGACACGGACATGTGCTAACAATTCGTAGGACAGATTTGTCTAGCCTCGTGGATCTCGTTTATTCCCATAATCGTGGCGCAGAAAGCGTCGGCGGGCTCCCTTCGGCGGGTTCCAAGAGCGGTTCTCTCCGCTCGCAACCGGAACGGGCATTAAGGATCGGAGCCTCTTTGAAATTAAAAGCGAAATACACCGTCCATTTTTACCGACGAATCCGAGAGAGGAAACACTCGAGAAATTTGGACGTCTGACTTCGACCGGGAGAGAGAGAGAGAGAGAGGGAGGGAGGGGAGTACATTTGTTCCTCTTTATCGAATCGAGGAGGAATTAATTACGAGGCCGCGCGCATTATCTTCCGCACAATAACAGAGGAACACCGGCAAAGGTTGGAAAGAGAGTCAAAGGAAAATACGAGTTAAATGGGAAAAGGCAGAGGAGGAGGAATGGTGGAGAGAGGAGAGGGAGAGACCGAGTCGACGGTCGACACGCGAATAAATTATAATTGCATGATTCCTTGAGCCTCTTTAACGGCACGCCGCGCGCGTCGCCGCGAAATTGCTAAAATTGGCAGAAATGCGCGACCATTTTAATTACATCCCCGGTGTTTCTGCTGATTTCTTTTTTTTTCTTTTTTTTTTTCTCCTTGTTTTTTTTCTCCTCTCTTTCTCTCTCTCTCTCTCTCTTTCTTTCCACGAACCTTCCTTCCATCCTCTCTGGAACACTGAGCGATATTCACAGTTCGACGGCAGCTCGAGGGCAACGATGATAATTGAATGTCGGCGTCGTTCACTTTCATATGGGGAAAAATAGTTGAAGAAAATATATATTGGATGGATGCGTGAGATTTCGTTTCTTCGTGTTAAAAAAAAAAAAAAAAAAAAGAAAAGAAAAGAAAAGAAAACAAGAAGGAATGAATTATTATTCTATGCAATAACATACAAGTGAATGAAATTCTTTCTTAAATACAATCGCAATAGAAAAAAAAAAAAAAAAAGTAGCTCGTACATCGTATATCCAATGTATTTCTTACTTCTCCACTACCTTGCTTTAATTAAAGACAAGAGGAAAAATATATATATTTCACCCGACCCAAATGCCTACAAACCCATCCCCGTAAATTGAAACTTTCCTCTCGAGTTCAAGTTTCCCAAGTTGGTGCTCGTTTAAAGTATTCGCGGCGAGAAAATGTTTCGGGATCTAATTTGTCCGCTCGAGCGGACAGGGAATCCGCCGGCGAGTGAAAGAAGGGAAGGAGAATTCGGAAGAAGAGGCGACAAGAGGCGGACAAGACGCGTTCGAAACCGTTGTGCGGGGCACACGGTTCCAGAGGGTTTCCTCGGCATGGGGCCCCGCTCGGCCAGGACACGGGTCGTCCTCGCACAAAACACGACGCGATCTCTCCTCTTTTTCATCCTTTGTAACCTCACACCTCCAACAAAACCGAGCCGACGAGAGAGAGAGGAAGAGAAAGAGAGAGAGAGAGAGAGAGAGAGAGAGAGAGAGAGATCTTTCCACGTCGGCTGGATTTTACCCAAAATATCCGCACGAGAAAGGAGACTTGGGCAGACAGCGCGGCAGATCCTCCCTCTTCTCAATGGACCCTCATAATCGGCGAGGTTCCGCGTCGTTTTCCACGTTTTTCACGAGGATTCAACCAGGATCTTCCTCGAACGATCGTGATCTTCCAATCCTTGAATTCGACGTTTCTATCTGCTCGTTCGATTTCGAAGGGACGCCATTCACGACGTGGAACGTGTCCATTCACAAATTAAGACATCGTGTGTCCAAGTCACCTGGATCTCCTCGTGTCGATTCTTTTTTTTTTTTTTTTTTTTTGAAATATTTTGCGAGATGTGATTTGAATCTTTGGACGAAAGTAAATCTATTAATTTTCACAGTTTTTCGTTTTCTTTCGGTGAAAGTTAGAAAATTAGAGTTTAGAGCGTGTTTTTAATTGTTTTGAATCGATAGAGATTTCGCTATGAGTAATTTTTCGCATTAAAAAAAGAAAAAAAAGTGATTCAAATGAAATTACGTCCCTCTTTCGAAACGAAAGTAGATTTTACTTGAAACATTTTTTTCGGAATAACGAGAAGATTTGGGAATAATTGTTACAAATGGAACACTTTGTATTTTTAATGGCTCGATGGTCCAATAATCGTGAAAGGAAAAATATATCGGTACGGACGTACATCGAATGTAAAAATAAATGAAAAGCGTAATTTTTCCTCCCGTAATTTTAATGTAAAACTATAACAGCCGCAGAAAGGAAGAAAGAGAGAATGGGCGGAGGGAAAGAGAGGCCCGTTTCAACGTGGTAACGAGGGACGAAAGTTATGAATAAAGTGGATCGATAGCATATGATAGTACCGTGATGGCCGACGCAAAAATGCTTTTAGCCGACACAGCGTGTCCTCCACCTCCTGGGAAACCGACCTCGCAACTTTCCTGATTCGTCAACTTCGAGGCATCGCGATATTTTCAATTCAATCCCCTCTATAATTTTGTCAAAATTTTTCCATAACATTGCTCCTCGTTTAACTCTCGAAAAAAAAAAAAAGAACAAGAACAAAAACCGATTTATAATAAACAATAAGCGATTAATAAACCCTTCTAAATAAGTTCACCAGAGCTCATTTTAATATATAATTTCGTCAAAATTTTTTCCACAAATTTCATTCTTCGCGATATAATTTTATCAATATTTTTATAACGCAACTTTTAATCCCAAACTTAATTTATTTCAAACAAATTTAACGAAAGATTAATCTTCTTGAATTCGTGAGAATTCGTTCTCTAATATAATTTTGCGAAAAATTTTTCCATTAACAACCAATTAATTTTATTTTCC